ATCCCTTCTGGTACCTGCAAATCCATATCATACTGCGGAAATTCCTGACTGGCTTCAGGTGTACGCTCGAGCTCCTGTGAAGTAAGTGAATTTACAGCCGACAGTTTTGTTGAGGGGAGAAAGGATGACTGAATGGAGTTTCTGGGTTATTTAACCCAAACAATGCCATGTTTCTCTCTTAATAAAGGATAGCATGGCTGGTAAGGCAGAGGGTCAGTGTGAAGGGAGAAATCCTTAATGAGATGGGTTGGCACAATAGCCACAAGTGTAGGGACAATTGTGAAGACAGCCCAGGACCAGGCAATATTTCCTTCTGTTCTACACAAGGCCATCATGTGTCAGCGCTAACTCATGGCAGCTAACAACAAGAAGAAAGTAATATTTTATTTGAAGAAAGTATATCACAATTTGGGTGCTAACCAGCCAATCACAAATTGCTTGGTGCTATCCACACTTCTTTATACCTTCCCTGGACCAAATTTATGTATGTTTGTTTTCCTATAAGTTGAAGAATATGCCCAACTGTTATTAATGTTGATTTCTGTGAGTTGGTAAGATAGAGGAGGGTTATTCTTTTAATTTTATTTCTACTCTATGAAACCAAAACCATTAGCAAGTTGATGCGGACTAGTAGCTACCCCATTACAGGTTTCCTAGGCTGTGAATCTTTATAGAATTAGAAAGCCTCGTCTTTCTCCTGATTTCTGCACTACATTCAGTGCTAAAAAGAAATAACAAGCTTTTTTTTTTGAGGGAGAAAGTGCTTAATTGGAAATTCAGATTTCTCTTTTTTTATTATTTTATTTTTGACATCTTAATATCAGTGTATATTTGCCGTGCATAAGATTAGGCGTACATGAACAAGAGGAACTTCTGATTTCTTAAGAAACAGACTCCTAAAACTATAATTCTTTTTAACTCTGTGGTGCTATGAGCTAACTGTGGAATAAATGCAAACTAGCAGCTTAATATTATTGGAAGATGGAACTTAGTTGCATCTGGGAGATCAAAGCCCCCAAAATGAGCTAGATTGAAAAAGATGAGCAAACACGTCTTTACTGTTTAAAAACTTAAGCCAGAAATACGAAACCTGTTGCTTTTTAGTTAATCATAAGTTATGTATGTGGAGAGCATGGAAATAGTTAATACTGTCCTGTCCAAAAAGTGTGAGCTGCTAGCTATATTTTAGATAATAGAGAATCAGTTACTTATCAAAAAGATATGCTTAAAGCCCCCCACAGACACCTTTCTTGAAACTCGACTACAAGTAAAGATTGATAGCCATTGTCCTGCAAATAAGTATGTTATTTATCAGCTGCTCCTTCTCCCTTAAAGATCCTTGATTGAAAGCACCCAGACGACAATGAGTTGAACATTCTCATTGTTCATCTGGTAGAAATATAAGCCTCATTAACTAGTAGACATGGCTGAAAGGCCCCTTAGCCATGGAATTCAGAGTCTGGGAGATTAAAATTGTTTGGTTAGGAATTGTCCATCCGTTTTAAAGAAGTTAACTTTTAAATCCCTACTTGATGGCCACTAAATTTTTTATTTCATTGTGTCCAAATTGTAAACTGGAAAAGGATAAGGATGTAGAAATTGTACTTTCAGTGCAAGGAACTTAAAAGGATCTAAATGTTAACAGGCAGAGAAATAGGGACACGGGTGACATAGACTCGAGGAAACATAGTGATGTCTTTATTGGTGCTCGGTGACCATATCTTGAACGTTCCTTTTGAGTTTGCATTAGCAAACTGTTGGGAGTCATCCACCACTGAGGACATGAAACTTGCTGTTAGTAAATTGGAGTTCTCATTAAGTAATTAAACGGGTAAAATTGGGGGTCCAAGCAAATATGTTTACTTATTGGTTTTGCATTGTGTTCCTAGTGGCCCTGGAAAAACATAACATAGTACATGGCTCATATTAGCTGCTTAGTGTGTTTCCTGTTTCCCTTTTAAGGAATCTTTTGTTTGTTTGTTTTTATATTAGATGATCCTTTTGGAAAATGGTAAATGAATTACTATACAGCACAGGAGCATGGGGTAGAAAGCGTTATAACAATTATTGAAAACAAATTCAGAATTCACAGCCAAAGCTTCCTAATATATCTGCTGTATGATTTGAGAAATATATAGGGACATCCTTGCTATACTTCAAGATCTTTGTATAGTCTCTGAAACATCTTGGACCTTAGTTCTCTGCCATGCTGAACTTTTAACCACTGAATACTTTGCTTTTTTTGGTTTTGATTTTTCCTCTGTAAACTGAGAAAATGGGATTAGAGTGCATTCTTCAGACCGCTTTAAAATCATAGTTTAAGTTGCTGATTGCAGACTTAACTTTTCAGTGTGTGACACGTTGTGTGGGTCCTTTCCCACATTGTGGCGTCTTCTACAGTCTACCTGTTCTCTGATTTGGAAAGACCTTATTCTTTCTTTTCTGCCTGAGGTTTTGTTTTTGAAGTAACTATGTATTTCAGCCACAGGAAAACTTGGCCCTATTCCATTTAGTTCCCCTTTGGCTTGAATGAACAGCTTTTCAACTCAAAAATATCTGTCAGCACAGATGACTTTGCCCATTTAAAATTTTTTTTAATTTTTTTGCCCATTTTTTAACATGGTTATTTACAAGCACAACGTGACGTGATTGCAAGTATTCGTAATTCTTGACATTTATCGTTGGATTAACTGACAACTAGTATAGAATATACTTGAAAACTTTAGAATTGTTGATTTGAAATTTGTGTTGGTAGTTGTCTATTAATACATCAGATGAAAACAAAGGGGTATTTTTAAAATTTAAATATGAGCAGTTTTCACCTTTTTCTAAAAAATACTATACTATTTACATAAAAGAATTAATACTCTTAATTAATTGATTAATCACTCAGTTATTTTTAATTAGAATTTATACTTTGTTAAGTTACTATAAAGGTGAAAAGTATTAAAACAGATCATTGGGTGGATTTTGAACATACGTGTGTTTGTGTTTTAAAACAGATACGACCACATTCTGAAGTGGGAACTCTTCCAGCTGGCTGACCTGGACACATACCAGGGAATGCTGAAGTTGCTCTTCATGAAAGAACTGGAACAGATTGTTAAAACCTATGAAGCTTACAGACAGGCACTTCTCACAGAGTTGGAGAACCGAAAGCAGCGAAAGCAGTGGTATGTCCAGCAGCGGGACAAGAAGTTTTAAGCTCATTCTTTTAAAATAAAAATGTAAGTTTTATAATGGCTTTAACATATTTTCACAGATGAAAAACTATAAACCAGGACTCTGTTTAATAAAGGCAGCTTACTTTTTGGAAATGACAAAGTTCTAATTTTACATGTATTTTTGTTATTAGAAGTATTTTATTGAACACCACCACCACCACCAAGCATGTATTGTTCTAAGAGCCAACATTTGCAAACACATCTTGCTGTGTATTAGGAAACTGCTTAGAGTGTTTTGATGGAGACAATTGTACAAAATAGTCTCTATAACCAGCTATTAACTAGGAAAGGATTAGGTAATCTCTTAGAGTAGCAGTACCTTTCTTTTAAAGAGAGCGAATCTATGCAGTATCTCAAAGGAGATGTTTACCACTGAGTGTGGAGTTCTGTCTGTAATGGAATGGCTCACATATTAGCATGGTGCAGTTCAACACTATGTAGGATTTGGGACTTTACTGTGATAGATTTCAACATATATAATGTATGGATACCCCCACCCTTTCTACAACCAGCCCACCATCACCACCCTTTTAAAAAGGAAAGAAGCATTTGAAAGTGGATGGACAAAAGATTTCTTGCTATGAAAGGATGAAAGACCTGTAATCGGTCAGGACTTAGTTTAGACAGAAGGCTCTAGGCCATGTGGGAAAAGCGTATAAATTGCTCAGTCACAAGATCCCTTTCAGCCAGGGCTCTAGCTGCATTTGGCATGGCCCTGATAAGACAGTAGTAGGTCCCGGAGGGCACAGCACACTGCCATTCAGACAGACTGGCTTACGTTGCCAAAAATGACAATCAGGAATTTGATAAGAAATTCTTGTTCATTAATTGCATTTGTATTACTTTTATATCTACTACGAGTTTGTCATAGGACTGTAAAAATGTGTATTTCCTTCCCAAAATTTTTTTTGCCTTTTGGTTGAATAGTTGTCCAGATATCATTCCTGATTAGTACAGTACATTTGATTACAGACAAATGTATGACATTTTCAGCCCTTAAGTACGTCTCTAGGATTTGGTGAATTTTAACATTCGTCTAAGTTGCTATTTAGTTTCATTTACCTGTGTTGTAAATAAGTAAATATAGTTTAGGTAGTCTTCAGAAATACAAAGTACTCCTAGTTAGATTCTGTTTTAATTACTGATGAAGTGTTGAAAATGTTAAGTGTTTGGTTTTTATATACAAGCTTATTAAATATATTTTTGTGGAAGAAAATGTGCCTGGTGTTTGAGTCCATGGTTTAGATACTGTTTTATAAATATTTGGTTTTTCTCATTAGACTCCTGTAGGCAAAGGAAGCAATTTCATGAAAAGGGCATTAACAATGAAGACAAGATGGCTGAGGGAATTTTATCAGTCGGAAAAGATATTTTGCAAATCATAAACACTCTATAATTATTTCCTCTATTACTCTTTTTTATATTACTACTTAACTAAGATATACCCATTTCTGAGAAAGTTAGAAATTACTGTGTTAGATCTTTCTGATAAAAGGCTTTACTAATTCTTTATCCATTATTACACTTTTTTTCTCCCCTTTAAAAGGTGTGATCAATGAAACTTCACTAGAGATTTTCTCATCATGGTTAAAGTATAGGGACTGGTTTAAAATAACTCCTAGGTAGCTAAGGGGATTAGCATATGTTTCTTAAGTGGAAACAAAATTTATGATAGTGTCAACATTTAAAAAAATGTCTTTTTTCAATTGAAAAAGAAAGACAAGCACCTTTATCATTATATATGTACACATCTAAACATTTAGAAATCAGTAAGCATTGTTTTTAATCTTAGGAACCAAAGTAAACTTTAATAATAGTTCACATGTTAAAAGAATAAACCTATGAATACATTTTTTTATGTATCAAATGAAAAAATATACAATGAAGTGAAACAGATGCATATACAAAGTGATCTGGGTGCATTTTTCATCAAGAAGTTTATATTCTACATTAAATTAAAATATAAAAGATCAACATAAGATTTTTGACAAGTCAAATGAAAAACTTCTTTTAAATGTATTTTGAAATAACTAAGAGATGGTATATGTAAGTTGACACAGACTGAACCAAGCCTGCTGGGCTGGAATGTGTGTTTCAATAAATGCCTTTATGAAATAATTTTTGAATTCCTCTGTAGAAATGAAAAGAGCATATCCAAACGTGGAGTAATATTACTACATGGTTTAGTTATAACCTAGTAGTAGTAGTTAGTAAATTCGAGCAAAACACATGTACTGTCATCATAAATAGACAAATACTTCAAATTATAATAGCATATTTGAAGACAAAAATAGGAAGTTGTACCTGTTAACAAAATAATAGAACCATGCATACATACGTCTGCTTATTAAACACTGAAAAGTCAACTAAACCATTATGCAGTCTTCAGAGGTATCTGACATTTTACTCTGTTCTGATGAAAGTATTTTGAATGTTTGCATGAAGATAGAAAACTTAATATTTAACAGATAGTTGGTCATGCACCTGTACTTTTAAAAAGTTGGGTTACATTTTCTTTTTGTCTGATTCTTCAGCAGGTTCTGACTTAGGTGCAGGAAAAGCATGATGGTACAGATGTCTGTGAGTTGCTGCTGCACTGTAGAGCTTGTACAAAGCCTAGAAGTACAAGAATCAAGATTATTATATGCTTTATGCAGATGTAAAAAGTTTCCATTTTTACAGTAATAAATTAGTTTGTAGACCATCTAGCCTGCTAAATTTGGGATTTATATAATTAATCTATGCAAGATATAAATTAATAACTAATTACTTGTTTCAACTCTCTAATGTATGGGTTTATCACTTTGTAGCTTGATCTTCATCATAAGTGCTTTAAGCTCAGACTGCTCCTGCTCCTTTTTACCTTGCATATATGCCTTCGAGAAGAGCTTCCCAGGCAGTAGGCTCCAGCGGAGTGTTGAGAACTCCTACTGCGAATATTCAATTTTAGAAGAATTTTAAGAGCTCATAACTTCTGACTACCACTAGCTACTTTATTATACACACCTAGTCCACTTACTCAGCACTTCTCAATAGGATCTGCAACATAGGACCACCTTTATTCTCCATCATTTTGACAGTCATGTACTAAGCAAGTATGCCGCCCCTCATCCTGGGACCCATTAATTTCCATGTTCATTTGCCCTGTTTCTATTAGTTCACATCATAGAGAGCTGTATTCAGAAACATTATCATAGAAATCTTTTCCTCATTAAAACTACCTCTATTCCTGTTCAGTGTGTCCCTTTAACAGTGATTAAAACAGGAATTTCTATATGATATCTATCACTTTATACAAGTATCTTCCCCTTCTTAGCTAATATCTAAGAGTCATCTCCTAACTTTTTCACATAACGAGCACTTTAGTAAAGGCTCAGTTGTCCTTGAATATTCTTAAAAACTCGATATCCTTTAAATAATAGGAAATTCTATAAGTGTTTATCTTTTGTGAGTTTCTGTAGCTATTTCCCCTTGATTTTCTGAGGTTAAAGCAGTAAGTCGGAATGCTACCATCTAGTATGGTGAATGTAAATTGATTGACTCCTGTGATTGTTGGGGGCCATTGAGTTGGTTCCGATTCCTCGTGAGCCTGTGTACAGCAGAACACAACACTGTGCACTTCCATACCCTGAAAACCAGTGTGTTTGAGCCCGTTGTTACAGCCTTTGTGTCAGCCCATCAAAATATAGCTGACGTTAATCTTTGCCAAACACAACATCCTCCAAGGACTGGTTCTTCTTCCTCATAACATGTCCAAGGTACATGAGACACAGTTTCATCATCCTTCCTTTTAAAGAGCATTCTGGATGTATTTCTTCCAAGACAAATTGGTTCATTCTTCCAGCTGCCCGTGGTATGTCAATATTCTTCACCAACAGAGTAATTCCGAGGCATCCATTTTTGTTGAGTCTTCCTGAATCACTGTCCAACTTTTGCATGCATATGAGACTACTGACAATACCATGACTTGGGTTAACCGCTCCTTAGTCCTCAAAGTGACATGTTTACTCTTTAAGTATGTCTTTTGCAGCAGATTTGCCTAATGCAATACGCTATTTGATTTCTTGACTATGATTTCCATGGGCACTGATTTGGGATCCAAGTAGAATGAAACCCTTGACCACTCCAGTCTTGTCTTTTTTCATTCCCTTATTTGTCTAGTTTTGAGAATTTCTGTTTTCTTTATATTGAATTGCAATCCATAGTGAAGTCATCTTCATCAGGAAGTGCTTCAGTAAGCAAGGTTCAGTTATCTGAATATCACAAGCTGTTAATGAGGTTTTCCTCTAATCTTGGTGCCACATTCTTCATATATAGCCCAGCTCCAGACATGTATCCAGCATAGAAATTGAGTAAGCATGGTACAGGGATACAACCCTGACGCTCTCCTTTTCTGATTTTAAACGATGCAGATCTCCTTGTTCTGTTTGAACAACTGCCTCTTGGTCTATGTACTGGTTATCCATGAGTACAATTCAGTGTCCTAGAATTTCCATTATTTGAAATATCCATAATTTATTATAATCCACAGTTGAATGCCTTTGCATAGTCAGTCAAATACAGGTGAATAGCTTTCTGACATTCTCTGCTTTTAGCCAAGATCCATCTGACATCAGCAATAATATCCTTTGTTACATGTGCTTTTCTGAATTTGGCTTGAATTTCTGGGATCTCCTGGACTATGTATTACTGCAACTGTTTATGAATTATCTTCAGCAAAACTTTACTTGTATGTGACATTAATGAGTTGTTTGCTAATTACTACCATCTGTTGCATCACCTTTCTTTGGAAGGGGCACATTCTTTCAGTCAGTTGGCTGGGTAGCTGTCTCCGAAATTTCTTGTCATAGATGAATGAGTACTTCTGTTACATTCGTATTTTGAATTATTTCAATTGATATTTAGTGCCTGAAGCCCCCCCCCCATCCTCCAAGGCCATTAGTACAATACAGACTTCCTTCAACATCATCCTTTCTTGATCGTGTACTATCCCCTGAAATGGTTGAACATCAACCAGTTAGTTTGATTTCAACAGTGACCCTAGATTTTTCCTATCTTCTTTAGATGCTTCCTGTATCATCCAATCTTTTGCCTGTAGAATCCCTCAGCATTACAACCCAAGGCTATCATTTTTCTTCCATTTGAGAAATGCTGAGTGTGTCCTTTCCTTTTAGTTTCCTAACTCTACGTCTTTGAACATTTCATTGTTTTACGTTTTGTTTTCTCAAACTGCCCTTTGAAATCTTATGTTCAGATTTTCACTTCATTTTTTCCCCATCCAGTTTACTTACTACATTCAAAATCGTATTTCAGAGTCTCTTCTGACATCGCTTGTGGTCTTTTGTTTCTCTCCTGGCCTTTTAATGACCTTTTGCTTTCTTCATCTCTAATGCCCTTGATGTTTTCCCACAACTAGATGGGCTTTGGTCTTTAGCATTTAATGACCTATTCAGGAAAAGGTCTCGAAGACCAGGAGGATATACTCAAACTCCTATTTTGGCTCTTGTTTTCATTTTCTCAGCTTCAAGTTGAATTTGCAGACAAGCAGTTGCTGTCTGTTCCACAGTTGGCCCATTGCCTTTTTCTTACTGATGATATGGAGCTTCTCCATCATCAGTATGGCTTCTGTGGCCCATCTATTGAGAACCATATGGATAGTCGCCATTTATGTTGCCATAAAAAAGTATTTGCAGAGGATAAGTCATACCCCCCCCCCCAAAAAAAAAAATCTTACTGCTGCTCAGCACTGAGTTGATGCCTACTCATAGTGGCCTATACAGCAGGGTAGAACTCTCCATGTGTTTCTGAGACTGTGGAAGGAGAAAGCCCCATCTTTCACCCTCATAACAGGTGGTGGTTTGAAACCACCAACCTTTTGAATCACAGCCCAACACAGCACCACTACTCCACCAGGGATAGGTCATAGGTCTTCCAAAATTCTATCATGTAATCTCTGGCATGGCTTCTATCACCAAGGAAGTATTTTCTAACTACTGATCCTACTTTACTTCCAGCTTTTGTATTTCAATCAGGAATAACTCTCAGTGCATCTTGATGGCATGTTTGATCAATTTCAGACTGCAGAAGTTGGTTAAAAATCTTTCATTTTCTACATCTTTGATGTTAGTAGTTGGTGTGTAGATTGAATAATAGTTATATTCGTTTCTCTTAGAGGTATATGGATATTTTCTTATCACTGACAGCATTGCATTTCAGGATCTTGATATGTTCTTTCTGACAATGAATACAAGACCATTCCTCTTCAATATGTCATCCCTGTCTGGTTCAAAATGACCAATGCCAGTTCATTTCAGTTCAAGATACTAATCTTTATGAGTTCCTTTTCATATTTTGACAACTTCTAGTTTCCCTAGACTCATACATTCTATATAGTAAAGGATCTTTTCAGCACTTTAATTTTAAGTTGTGTCACATTAGCAAATGAAGGTCCCAAAAGCTTTCCATTCACATCATTAAGGCCCACCCTACTTTGAGGAGGGAGCCCAGGGGGGCTGTCAGGTATGTATTATACTGCTAACCAAAAGATCTGTCTGCAGTCCAAAACCACCAGCCATTCCTCAGAAAAAAGATGAGGCCGTTTGCTCCCATGAAGATTTACAGCCTTGGAAACTATATGGGGTAACTATGAGTCAGAATCAACTTTAGGGCAGTGGGTTTGGTTTGGGTTTGGGGTACTATCAGTAGGAAGCACTTCTCTAGCCACATTTTGAATGTCTTCTAACCTAAGGAAATTTTTCTGGCACTATATTAGAAAATGTTCCACTACTATTGATAAGGTTTTCACAGGCTTTTTTTTTAAAGTAGATCATCAGGTCCTTTTTCTGAGTCTGTCTTAGTCTGGAAGCTCTGCTGAAATCTGTCTGCTGGTATTTGAAATACCATTATCATAGCTTCCATCATCACAGAACCTACAAGCCACCCCAAATTCACAAGAAGTAGTTTGTCCTCAAAACTCATTGCCATCCAGTCAGTGACAAGCATAGCAACAGTATAGGGCAGAGTAGAACTACCCTGTGGTTTTCTGGGGCTGTACATTTGTAAGAGAGCAGAAAGCCTCATCTTTGCCCCTTGGTGGGGCTGGTGGTTTAGAGATGTTGACTTTGTCATTAGCAGCCCAACCCCTAATCTCTGTTTTGTCCTGTTGTTGTTTGGTGGTGATTGGTGCCATTGAGTCAGTTCCGACTCATAATGTACCACCCAGTCTTGTGCCTTGTGCCATGCTCACAACTGTTCTTCTGTTTGAGCTCATTGTTGCAGGCACTGTGTCCATCCAACTCATCTTGTCGAGGGCCTTCCTCTTTCATTGTCCCTCACCTTTCCAGGCATGATGCCATTTTCCAGGGACTAGTCTCCTGATAACTTGTCCAAAGTGTGCAAGACAATGTCTCACCATCCTTATTTCTAAGGAGCAATATGGCTGTATTTCTTCCAAGGCAGACTTGTTTGTTTTCCTTGCAATCCAGGGCATTTCAATACTCTTCCCCAGCACTGTAATTCAGATGCATCCATTCTTCTCTGGCCTTCCTTGTTCAATGTCTAACTTTCAATATCAATCAAAAATATGGTGCTTGGGTCAGGTGCACCATAGTACTCAAAATAACACCCGTGCTTTTCAATACTTTAAAGAGATCGTGTCCTTTTTTCTTAATAACTCATTTTACTTGGGGCTCTTACAGCCTTTATAACAATCCATATATCAATTGTACCAGATACATTTCTATATATGTTGCCATCATTTTCTAAACAGTTTCTTTCTGCTTGAGCCCTTGGTGAGGTCTTGTCTTAGATCTGTTCTGATTCTACCAATCCTGTTCAATCCCTGTTCTCTTTAACATTTAGATTTACAAATTTGAATCTGGTTTGGTGTTTATAACCTAATCATACTAGAATTTTACATTAAATAACTCCTAATGACTGGCAACTGTTCATTGCATTACTGGTACAGAACACACAATCCAGTTATATGTGAAGGTAGAAACTAAAGAACTATGTGCTGATTCTAGTAGTAGTTCTAGGTCAGCTTTGCTTCTTGAAGATAATGACTTCACAAGATCTTCCTTTTTAGAATAAGTGATTTCCTTCATTACAGCTCAGATTCCTTCCTCAGACATAGAATTTTCATATGTGCAGTGGAAGTGAACACTGATTCACAGGCCAGGTCTGAAGGATGCCATTGATGCCCACCGGCCTGGGACCTGCTGAAAGTGAAATAGACAATACTCAAAACTACCACTAAAATAATGTCTGTAGCTGATGCCGTTAACGGATTCGTGGGGACCCCATGCACCACAGGATCAGACCACTGTGACTCACACTGCTTCACTGTGAGTTTCAAAAGCAGATGACCAGACCATTCTTCCTAGTCCATCTTACTCTGGAAGGTCTGCTGCAACCTATTCAGCATCACTGCAGCACGCAAGCCTCCATCAACATATGAGTGACTGCTAGGCTTATGGAGCACTAGTTAGGGACTAACCTAAGGTCTTCCTCGTGGAACGTGAAATTCTACCACTAAACCTATACTGCCCCCCTGTAGTTACATTACCTTCAAGTACTTGTGAGTTGGGAGAACACCAGGAGCATGTCAGAATTTAAAATTTCTACATACTCAACAAAACGGAGGCATGACATCAACTATGTTTCATGTGCTGAAAAAATTATATATGCTATACAAGATAAATTGTATTTAAAAAACATTTTTTAAATTCACAATTAAAATTTTAAATGCTGGAAGAATATAGGAACAATGGCCAACTGAAGATTTTCTAATCTACATGAAGCCATCCTTTACTAGCTACTCATTTTCTAACATAAAACCATAACATTTACAAATATGTAGCTGTTAATTAAAAAAAAATTACCTTACCTCATTTGTACTTCCCTGTGGCAGAAGCAGTTTAAAAGAGGGGAAGGAAAAAAATGTCTATATTCTGCTTCATTAATAGCATTACAATATTCATTTTCATTTAAACAATGGTTTATGGGATTTAAAAGCAAATATTTCCACTGATTTTTCACCGTAGATTACAAATTTTATCTGAATCTCTTAGAGAACCCAATTCTATATTCCTCAGTTGCATCAGCATATTCTAGGAGGGTTTAAGGATTTATCTCAGACAACCCCTCCTCTATCACAGAGAACTAAAGTTTCACTTCATTCTATTCCCAAACTAAGTAGACATAACCACTAACTAAACTTTGCACAGGCACAAAGTAAATAAATCTATTATAACTCTGTAACTATTTCACACCTATATTTCATTATCCAATGTTTCATATTTATGTTAACATATAAAATATTCCCAACCAGTTCCTTGATGGTCCAGGAGCCATGGCTCAGGCCAGGACATCCTGTGTGGGCCACCCCAAATGATATACCAGAGGTTTTGGCCAACGGCTGGGGCCACCGAGGCAGTGGCTGACTAGCCACAGGACATGTGCTCCAATTTGTCCATGTTGTCTTGGGCTAGCACAGGGCATGTAGCAATGACTGGATGACATGAGGTCATAGAACAGGGCAAGGTAGAGGTGCCATGGATCTCATTGTTGGGGAGACAGGGAGGAGAGTGGAGGGAAGGGGACTGTGAAGTAGGGGTAAGTGGAGTAAGTGGTGTTCCTACACATCAGGTGCTGGTGGGTAGCAGGCAGTGGGCAACACACAACCACTACCACTCTAACCCCTGTGGACTCAGAAGTGGCAGAGGGAGCCATGTCATGCATGTCATGAGATGCACCAGGAGTTCATGGAGTGGGGAGAACCAGTTGGAAGCATGGCATGGCTCCCAATTTAGTATAACAACCTGGTGTTTGGATCCTCACCATGTTGATAAGTCAGTGAATTATAAAGAACATATTTAAGTATACTCACTGCTGAGAGAATTACAGCTATTCATTTGCTACCTGAAAACCAGAGAAATTCAAAAGTCTTATCTTCAGAATTTTATGAAGAATCTCAATCTAGCTCCATTAAATTCCCCTAAATTTTCACAAGACAACTGACAACACTTCCAGAATGACAGTAAGTTGATATTTTTTCTATGTGTATGTATAATTCTCGGCCCAACCATAATGCTATTTGGAAAGTATGATGATCTTGGCTCCCTAGGATGTGGCTATTTAAACAAGGAGGACAGGGGCAGCTGCTCAAGAAGTTGACCATTAATGAGGTCACACTATGGCCTACCTCAGAGATAATCCAACATAATCAGACATTGCTTTCAGGATGCAGACTAAAAGATATGATAGAATGGCTTATGATAATGTTTCAGATGTCCTAACAAAGCAATGTTAGTCAAATAATAGGTTGTCCATATGAGACAATAGTAACAATCAGTTACATAAATACTTTTTTATACTAACAGCTTTATCATTTTTAGGATAAGAAAAAAATAAAAACACTAATTCCATATATTTTGGGGGTGGGGTGAGGGTGGGAATGACATTAAGATGTTCACTGGAAAATAATTGTGTAGAAGTTAATATATATAAAGGCAAGTCAAGAACTATTGCTATGAAATCATAGAAAACTATTAAACAAAAATAGCAAAATGAGAAGCTACTGTTCTTGGCATATCCTTCATTAGGTCTGTCTACCTCTGAAAGGGGTGTTTCCATCTCACTAACCTGTATACCACATCAAAAGGACACTTTTGACAGAGGAGTCAAGATGGCGTCCAGGTAGAATCACCCACCCTGGCACTCCTGCTGTTAGACCAGAAAATTAAGAGGTAAGGAGGCCATTACTGGGAGGCTGGGTGCTAAAAATAGATTCTGTGTACTAGGGCTGGTTCAGACCTCCCCTGGTGGTTTTTGCCCATGGTGCGATTCGAGAACTCGCTGAAATGCTCCCAGTTCACTATGTCTGCCTGTGAGTTCTGCTAACCCATTGCCAGGTCCAGCAGGACTCTGCCACCCCTTCCTGCACCCAAGAATCAAGACTGGCAGAGAGCAGTAATTTCCCCAAGCTGCTTCTAAAAGTCATAATCCCAGGCTCACACAGAGCCTCTGAAAATAAGCCACAAGACCTCACACTGAAGGTCCTCTCTCTCCTCTCTACTATCCACCCTGAACCTGCAGTCTAGGCCTTGGCAACTTCCCTCCCCAGCCAGGAACGGAGTGACTTTTTTGGTTATCCTCTTTCTGCCTCTCTCCAGTTCCAAACCTGTCAGCATGGGTAACAATAGATAATTAGACAATAATTTGCAGCAATTGAAGAGCTTCTGTGATATTTACCTGTGGCAGAACGAAGTTCCCCCAGAGCACAACCAGCAGTACAGGCAGAATAGAGCCAGGAGTGGCACAGGCATGCAAACGGGGGTGAAATCAGATCCAGTCAGCCCCAAACCCACTCTGCTAATCTGGTCCCCCTTCCATGGGGGACAGTGAAGGTCAGCCCCAATACTGGGGGCACCTCACAGCCCATTATAAAAAGGGAAAATAATATATATTTTTAAAAAACACATCAATTCCTGGCTGTGGTCCTTTGTGTAACTTTGAATGTAAGCTGCCAGAACTCTTGTCTATTAGCATAGCATTAACATATCAATGTAGCCAGACCATTAATCTTCAGAGTACGGCCTAGGATTTTAACATAACAAAACAGGAAAAGCCATCAGGTTCTGATAGCCACAGCTCAAGCCAAAAACTGGCTCTACAAGTTTTGGCCTCCACAGAAAGTCTTTAAAAGGCGGCAAATTGTTGCCAGACAGACCAGGCGTGCCCGTGCGTCAGCCCTGCCCCAACAGGCCAGTGGCATACCTACTGTCGCCTGTCTCATCGCAGACTCCGATGCCCTCCACTGCCACAGGCCATTGAGTTGCCTCAGCACCCTGCCTACATAGCAGTCTGACTCACCACCATAGCAGACCACAGGTAGTCCTTGAAAACACAGTCACACAGAGAAAGCTCAGGGCCCTTGGTCTCCCAGAAACCTAACTCCAAGTTCTTCCAAAATTGCACGCAAACCGAAACACACCTCAACAACAAAAGAAGAAAAACAAAACGCAACAGTAGAAGTCATAAACCTAACAACAATCATAGAAGAATCAGACCTGGATCTGCCACAGAAAGAAATCTTCAGAACGCTGCTTGGAGTAATAGAGCATATGAGGGAAGCAACGCAGAAAAAGGACACATTGATAGATAAGATGAAGTGCATGATAGAGGGGATGAAGTCCATGCACCAAAGAAAAATGCAAGAATTAATGGATGAGGTAGCAGAAGCAAAACACAAGATCATGGACCTCACGAACAGACTAAAAAAGGTGGAGAATCATACCAGCGATCTCAAGAACAATCAGTCATACTTCAATAAATAGGAAAGAGAGTCAAAAAAGATAAACAGGTGGAAGAAAACCTGAGATAAGGACAGATGCTATGAATAGAAACAATATTCAAATAATTGCTCTACCAGAAGAAGACACAACAAAGAAGTCAACAGCTAAATATGTGATAGAATTTCTGGAAGCAAACTTCCCCACCTTACTGAATGAAAATGAGACACTAATACAGGTAGCAAAGAGAACACCTATTAGACTAAACCCCAGGAAGCACTCACCAAGGCACAATAGTTAAATTATCAAACTTCAAGGACAAAGAAAATTTTAAGAGCTGCAAGAGAAAAAATGGTGGTCACATACAATGGTGCTCGGGTAAGAACATGCTCAGACCTACCAGCAGATACTATGAAGTGTAGGAGAGAGTGGAATAGCTTTCTTCCAAAAGCTGAAAGAAAAAAAAAAAGCCAACCTGAGAATCCTCTTCCCTGCCAAAGTATATATTAAGATAGATGGCAAGGTAAGAGTTTTCTAGGACAAGAAAAACCTCATAATACACCATAAGACATCCAACCCTGTGGAAAATTCTTGCCAACTCCCTATGGTCAGAAGACCAACATCCACCAAGCAGGAGACCGCCATATAGTGCAACTCCGCCCAGAAGTCAATGTGCCGAAAACAATTTCCTAGATAACATTGCCTCAGAGGGAAAAGAAGGCAAGAATGAAGCCCCACACACAATCACAGTACACTGATATGAAGGGAGATAGGAAAGCACCCAATACAAAAGGTACAAGATGACAGCAATGTTCACAGATGGTGATAATAGCTGAATGTCAGAAGCCTCAACTTGCCTGTTAAAAAGCACAGGTTAGCAGACTGGCTCAGAAAACATAACCCATCAATCTTTTGCCTGCAAGCTCGCAGACAAAATAGCCTAAGAATCAAAGGCTGGTGGAAAATATACCAGGCAAATGGCAGCTTAAAAAAAGCAGGGGTTGCGATCTGAATCTCTGACAAAATTGACCACAAGGTGCAAACCAGATCAAGAGACAAGAAGGGCACTAAATAATGTTCAAAGAATCTGTAGACCAGGAACCCATGAGCATAATAAATATATGTGTGTCTAATGAGAGACCCATGAAATTCATCAAACTATTCAAGAGATGAAAAAAGAAATCACAGATTCAACCATCATAGTAGGTGACATTAATATACCACTATCAGAAAAAAGATCACTGGGAAAGAAGTTCAACAAGGAGGTTATAGAGCTAAACACTACACTTAGTAAACTGTACCTGAAAGATATTTATAGATCTTGACATCCAATTGTAAAATAATTCACACTCTCTTCAAGCGCACACGTCTCACTTTAGAAAATAGACCACATGCTGGGATACAAGTCAAGCCTGAGTAATTCAAACACACAGAGATTATTCAGACTCCCTCTCGGACCACCATGCCATAAAGCTGGAGATCAACAAAATGATGACCAGAAAAACAAGGGCAAACAATTGGAGGGTGAATAACAATCTTCTGCGACACGAATGAGTACTAGCCCAGATTAGAGAGGAAATTAGGATGTTTCTAGAAAGTAATGAGAATG